CTGGTGCTGTTATTGCAAAGTAACTCTTACATGACTAGCTCAAAAGTCAGGAAGTACTTTTTTTTTTTTTTTTTTTTTTTTTTTTGTAAACTAACAAAGAAGGAAAAAAAGGTGTTCTAAGTACAGTATGCATGTGAGCACTGTTTTTCCCCAGGTGATATCAGTGTTTGCCATTGCTATTCATTACCATGCCGGCCTGCACTTCGCAGTCCAAAATCTCTGTCATTTCCAAATCACGGACAACTCACACACACACCACTGAGCTTCATTCCACCACCTCCCTGAAATACACCGGCTGTGCTGTGTGGGACCACCTCTGAGTGCGGGAAGGTGGGCTGCCTGTGGATATTAAATCACATTTTTCCGATGAGCCAGCAGAAGCGCTGCTAATCAGTGCCAACTGTGCTGGGGTGGGGTGTAGCACACACAGGAAGGGAGATCAGAGATAAAACGCTGTGCCCTCCTCGCAGACTAAAATGGCCCGGCTGCCCTGAGCACAGAAGCTGTTTGGGGATGCTTCTCCTGCTCCCAGCAAAATTCCAGCTGGGAATAGGGACACGCGCGTTCCCGGCCAGCCACGAGATGGCGCCGGAACCCCCAGCCCCGCATCCCGAGCCTCTGCAGAATTCCAGCCCTGCCCAGAGGATGCGGCTCCTTCCACTTCATCAAAGTCAGAGGAAGTCTGTGATTAGCTGGATGTTTACAAATAAAAGCAGGATCTGGAGACAGATCAAAGATGGCTCTCCAGATTTGGCCCGATACCAGAGTCCTGCGCTAACAGCGTCTGCATGGGTTCCACTCTTATGTTCAGTGCCTGAACTTGGGGTAGCTCATGATGCATTAACAATGCTTTTTCAATGCTTAGTGCATTTATTAGAAGTCTGAAGATTCAGCCAGCTAAGGAGCTGAAGAAACAAAACAACAACATGCCTCAGCCAACAAGATCTTCCAGGCTCCATCTAAGAGAAGCACCCACTGGGCTCTTCCTCACCCTGCTTCCTGCAATGTAAAGGGAACCAAGAAGCAAAGATAAGCACTGTTCCAAAATCCAAAGGATGTATTACTTCAGAATTAGTAAACAGGAGCAGTAGCTCCTCTAACGTTCTCTAACAATCTAAGTAGCTTGGATGGCCCAATCACACCATATGTGCTTTTCACTGAGGAGACTGTAGCTCATCCAGGATCTCAGTGACCTTGTCACAGCCCAAAGGACCAGGGAGAGAAGTAGATGGGAGATTAAAGATGTGGTGTGTGAAATACACTGAGTTAATGTATATCTGTTCTAAGGGACATCTTTGTTTTGACTCTGTCTAACAAACAGGGCTTGTGAGGTCTGGAAGGCCACAGACTATTCCTTCTCTCATACCAGTGCTCTGTTTGAAGTTGGTATTTCTATTTGGGGTCTAAGCCACACTGAACTTGATCAAATAAACATTCTCCAAAGGAAACTGCCTTTGAACTATTTAACTCTTTGCACAACAAACTAAAGCTGAAAGAACTGTAACAATTACTGTAAAATCTCTTGTGTCCTGACTGAATTATGTTCCAGTTTTTATGTTACTGTACATGAGGACCTCTGTCTTTTCTGGCAGAACTGACCGTGTCAGCAATGACCAGTAAAATCTAAGTGAAACACAATCCATCTGAAAGCAGACTAGGTGGGGCTAGCCCTCAGACTTCCAGGCATGCAGAGTATTAAGTGTCATATTTTACAGCATATGTAAGTGTACACAACTTCTATTTAATTCACCTGATAACAATGTAGCTCAGACATCTGAGCTCTCCTGGGCTTTGGGACATATTAAGACAATTTCTTCATCACTTCCAAGGGATCCTACCCTATATTTCCTCTTCCTACAATATTAGTGTATCTATCCTTCTCCCAAAGGAGGGATACTTTAGATTTGTCTCTTAAAATGCTTCTGATTTATTCTAAGTAATTCAATAACCAATGGCTAGAAACCAGAACCTCAGTAATTTGCAAGCTGAGACTCCACCAGTAGGTACCAGTAGGAAACCCACAGGCAGGGAAGGAACCAGGGCACCATCTTTAGCATCCTAAATAAAAGCCCTAACAACGACTTGTGTAAGAGGAGTGTAACCGATACCAGAAGTCTGGTGTATCTGCTGCCAAAACCAAAAGCAATTTATGGTATTCAGCAAACTCTATTTTTAGCCAGCTTATCTGCATTTCCACAAACTTTCATGGTCTTTGGGGCTTTTTGCCATGGACAGAAGGACAATATGTTATTTTTCCCTTTTGTTTTCTGTGGAGTCAGAAGCAGAAGTCCCTCAGGTGACCACCCACAATGTAGTGGGATGGTTACCTAAAAAGGAGAGAACAGGTATTATTGAGAGTTGTGTAGGTTCAACTGAACATGTGAAAACTATTTAAAAAAGCAACTTCTTAGCCCTAATCATTGCTTTAAAACAGGAAGAAAGCAAATCTTCCTCTTCAAAAAAACAGAAGGCAAATAAAAGAGCCGAAAGGATTCATTTCTAAAATAGCAACCTTGTCATCAGGGGAGATGGGGGAAAAGAGGGGGGAAAGACTGATTTTTGCATCTTTTGTGTTGGGAATGCAGCTGCTGCAGAGACCTTGGCAATTGCTGACACTGGTGGCACTTTGCCTGACAGACAAATTGAGAAACTAAGGATTTACAACAGTCCTGATTTCCAGTGGATTTCCTACCATCTACACAGCTTCCAGGATTTACAGGCCTATAAGGAACGCATTCATTCCCTGTCAGGAGTCTGGGGATGTCTACAGAACTACAAGACATATTTATCTGAAGTTGCAAACAAAGAAAAGTACACCCCAAAATCTTTGATGCAAATCACACGTGAGTTTGAGTAAAAACAATAAATGGCAGCATAACTTTGTCAGAGAGGGAAGTTCTTGAACCATTTATTTTTTTTTCTCCCACCGGAAATTCTACATGCAGCATTGTTGTTGTGGTTGTAGCTGCAGGAAGATTTACTATGGTTTTTAGTATGCCAAAAGGCACAGGAAAGGATTAAGCTTTTTCATTTTCAAGAGAATCAAAGATCCTGACCATGTCTGAACCTCAAGGTTGCTGGAGTGAGGTGTGCCAGGCTGGCTACACAAAAGAGACAGTCAAAGCCTGGCCTTGGACCATCTGAGGATTTCTCATCTCACGGTTCTGTTATGTTCCCTTTAACATATTAATATGAAACTTTAAAAACTTATTTTCAACCACTCTTATGCAGGAAATCTTCATGAATTACTGAAAACCATATCTCTAAAACCATGATGCACAGCGTTGTTCTCTTAAATTAATAAAAAAATCCCCACCCTACCACATATCTGAGGGCAAAAATAATCCAAATAAAGATCTGATAGCATTTCTCCTATGAAGCTGGCACTGGCCATTCAAGTACATGAAAAGGAACACGGGCTGTTTGTTGCAGGGCTGAATATTTATAGTCATGATGAAGTGATTCCTGAATCATGAGCTGTACTGCCCTGTTACAAATTAGGATTTGTCTTTCTGCATTAAAAAATAAAATCACAATTAATTCCAGAATTGTGGAAGTTACTGTAAAAGTAGCAAAAGACACTTAATTTATAAAATGTGTCCTGATTTTTGGCATCTTTCCTCTACAAAATTTCAGCCTACTCGCATGTCTCAAGAATACACTGCACAGCAGTATTTTAGGAGTTTTTTGGAAGTTGGAAGAAAATACAGACAACTGGTTTATAGCTGAGAATTACAGAAATGTCAGCTTTTGAAAACATGTTCCTAATTTCTAACCTTCAGCAGACTTCATAAAGTCAAATTAGTCATGCTTCATCTTGTAGGTCTTTAAGTCTGAGACAAGCATCAAACCAGCTGAGAATTAGGGAAGTCAGAAGATTTGATTTTTAACCCTCTGAGACTGAGAAGCACTTAAAAGTCAGAAGCACACAGGGATAGTAACAGATACTGCCAGCATCAGCTTAACTTACACATGAAATTACCCAAAGCTTTCAGCATTAGACCAAAATGAGACAACTGTCTCCCCTTACTGTGAAAAGCAGTGAGGGGCACAGGGCAAGAGAGGAGCTCCACAGCTGCATCTGGGCCCACAGCTGGAGGGCAGGAAGGCCAGAGGAAGGTGGGAGCCATTCCTGGTGTCTGGCCAGACAAGGGGCCCAGCTCATTCCTGGCCTGGGGCCAGGCCAACCACACAAACCCAGCGGTGCAGAGCACTACCCAGTCTGCTTCAAGAAACACTAAGAAAGCTCCAGAGCATATTTGTGGGATGAGCTGAATGCAGGAAGGTTTCCAGTTCTCACGAAGAGGACAGATAGCAGAGATGTGTCTCATTTGTAAGAGGTTGGGCTGCCTTTTTCCTTTTCAGGAAATAGGAGATGAATGTAAGAGTTCAGCTTCCCCGAGGATGCTTGGGGGAGACAGAGACCGAATTAAATTTGGGACATGCTCTGACTTCTGGTCCAGCTTGTTTAAGCAAAGGAGCCCCCTCCCAGCCACTCATTCCTCCTCTCGTGCCACCCCTTCTATTGTGCTTGCACAAGATCTGACACAGAGATGGAGAGGGAAGCACAGCAGGGAACTGATCCAGCCAAAAACCTGCCCCACAGGGAATAGAAAAAAGCCCGTTGTTTGATTCAGCTGATTGTGCAGCTACATAGGTACATGCTTGGTGACAAAGAAGAGGGTGGCACACAGGGGAGAGCTGAAACTAATGGGGAGAAGTAAAGGGCTGCCAGGGCTCAAGGTGGCACAGCCTCCAGGAGCAAATTCGTGTCCTCACCAATAACTTTGAGACTCTTGATGGTTTAGCACTAGAGTATTCAAATACAATCGTGCAGTCAAACTATTCACTTTTATAACAATGTATTTTTAATACATTCTCCAGGGCAATATATTTTCTGTCTACAGCTTTGAATAAAAAAATATGCTGAATTATATGTTGTACACCAGCTGAAAGTATTACATAAAGAAATCCCCTAATTAAAGCATAAATTCTTAGAATTCCATGATACTCTATTTATTGAAATCAAAATTTCTCCACAGACCTGTTGGCTACAAATATCATTATACACAAATGTAAATACTCTTTGAACTAACAAGTCAGCAGAAACATTTACAAGTATATATATATATATTAACATTTTAAACATCTCCTCTGAAACTGAAAAAGAAACTCAAAAGCTTTTGTGGTATTTTAAAGCTCATACCAGGTCTTCATGAATTCCCTTTTTTTAACTTTCAGTAAATCTTGAAAGCTAAGAGCTAGGCTGGCCACTTATAAATTCTCAGGATTGCAGCCCCGTAGCACTGCCAAAATGAGAAAAACAACAGAACACAGAGAGGTCCTCCAAAAATAAGAATAGCAAATCACTTAAAAATATAACTTATGGCATCCAGCAAATCTTTTTCTTTCTGGCTATGCCTTGTGCAATGCTTACACCTCCAGTTTAAAAGATCCTTAAGTGCTTTTACACACTAACATTCACTAAAAGGAGACAGAAAGGAACAATGTTATGGCAACAGAAAAGTACAAATTAGAGGAAAAGAACTCTTAAATAAAATATTTTTGCTTCCCCTTCATGATCTTTCAAGTAACAGCAAAACTTCTAGGGTAACTGCTGTTGATTTTTTTCATGTCTGTTTTTGTTCTGTCTCCACATTAAATCACTTTTGTACGGTAGGAGCACTGAAACACCATCATTTCACTCTCCTGCAGATGTTGTCCCATTCTGGGAAGAACACTGAGGAGTGGCCAGCCCCAGGCTGCCTCAGCACCCAGACCTTCTCCCCTTTCACAGCAGCCAAATTCCTCCTGTCACTCCAGGCCTTTTCTCTAACAGTCCCATGCTGTTCCCCTGCACGCTTTTACACGTCATCTCAAATACTCATCTATTTAAATACCCATCTATTTGCAAGCCAGCCTGACTTGTTTATGTTCTCCCATACGCCCCTTGATCACTTCTCAGGCTACTTCAGTCATTCTAATTTTTTCTGCCTACATGTAAGTGGATCCACTTTTAAGCTTCCCTGCAGTGCAATTCGTGCTCTTGGTGAGCCTTAGCATGGACTTTCATACATGTGAACTCCAAGGCACTGGGTTTTGTTTCCCTAGAACAGGAAAAAACATCAATTCAAGTGCAGTTGGAAAGGTTTAACAAACTTTACTTTGAAAGGCTACTACAACACAGCTTATAATTGAAAAACAGAAGTATTCAGGGTGTTTATAAAGTTAGATAGTACAAGTAAATACCATCATTCCCAGCTTCTCCATTTAACTTCTGTAGTTGACAGGTCTACTTACACTAGAAAGTCACATTTTTAAAGAAACATTTTTGGGTCAAGTTCAGACCAATAGGCTCTAAACAAGGGCTCCTGATCCTGAGCAGGAGGCTCTATAAATCACCCTTAGCCCTTCACTGAATTCAAGACTGATCCCTTACATGGCAGAGGTCACCTCCAGCTTTTCAACAAGGTCATTAATCGGGCTGAGTCAGCCTCCCTCTGCTCCCACAGCCGGGACATTTTACCCACTCCTCCAGCCACCCCCTCCATGCCACCGTGGGGATTTGCTTCCCACTGCGCAGCTCTAATCCTGCCTGCCTGCCTTTGCCACTCCCTCCCATCAGGATCTCTTCTCCCACTCAGTCTTCCCACTCCTCCAGTGCCACAAGACCCTCCTGCCAGCTCCCCCAGTGCTCTCCAGTTCTCCTGCACTTCCCTTGACTGCTCTTCCCAATCCAGCTGATGCTGTGAGGGATAAGCTGCATGTCAGAGAGTCACTGTGTGCAGCAGATGAACCCCCCAGCTCTGGAGTGCTGGAGTGTATTCATGTCTGTGCTCTTTTGGCCCCAGTGCTATCGAGGACTGGGCTGACTTCAGCATCATACATGAAAACAAAGGACTGAGCAGTTAAAGCAAAACACTAAAATCCCACTAAACTGCACCCAAAGCAGCTGTGCCTCGGAGCAGCTGCTGGCTCAGGACCAAGGGCTGGTGGGGGAGCCTTCTCCATCACTGCAGAAATGCACATGTCTGCCGACCAAGAGAAATCCTAATGCGCATTTGAAACTGAATAAATGCAAGGCAACTCACACTACTTTTAACAGCTGAAGTGGAGATTCTGAATTGTATATTCACTCCTCTGAATAGTGTAAAATTAAAACTCGATACCCTTCATAATCCCCAAGAAACTAGGAATGAAACTCAACTCTGACAGAAACAAACACATGAAGGCCCTGGACTAGACCATCAACTCTTGGCTCCTATTCTCAACCCCACGGCTGGCACATGAGGTGATAAAACATTTCAGCTGGAAGAGACCTGCAGTGATCATCTAATCCAGCTGCCTTAATTGCTGATCTACATTACTTTCCTCCTTCCATAGCTCAGCAGGAAAGAGCATTACCGCCCTCTTTGATAAAGTGAGATCTCCTGGGAGGAAGTACAACTACGTTTTATTTTTTAATTGTTTTCTCCACAATTATGTATTAGGATCCTTTCCTCTACCCCATCACAAATCACACACTTAACAAACGTTTTGACAGCTGGTGCCTAAAAGTCAAAGCCAGTTGCTCTCTCAAAGGCCAAAGTGCCTCACTGAATTGGTGTCAGCTGGTACTTAGTAGGATTTTTAAATTCAATTAAATTAAGAGACAAGCTGCACAGATTAGGGCTCTGCTAAAATCAGAAAGAAATCTTAAAAGGCATAAAATATCTTTACATTTATTAAGCAAACTCTGCAGTCTTTTCTTGTTATATTCTTGTTGAAAAACAGAACATTCATAAAGTATCATGAAAACAAGAAGCAAAAAACCTTAAGGTCCCAAGCAATGGGAGTATCTCCACACTCACCCTGCTTTTAACTTTCCAACACAAGCAGCAAGGCACAGTTTACAGCTAGGCTGAAAATGCAGTGTTCAGTGCACATGGCCATACTGCATTCCTAGCAACCCACCACAGCCACTCCTTCTTTGTATATTAGGATAAGCAGGTTAAATATACCCAGAGAGGTACAGACAGTGAAAGAAAGGCTAACATCAGTTGAACAGCTCTGCTAGGACTTCCCATCTGGAAAACGACCACTGTGCTGGAACCCCTCGGTTATCCCGAGAGTCATTAATTCCCTTCCCCCTTGTGCACAGCAGCCCGAGCCTGCAAGGGTTAACTGAGCCTATGTGCTCTCACCCCTGGGAAGCACCTTCCAACAAAGCCAAGAAGCAGGGGACCAGGACAGCCAGCTCTGCCCCTGCAGCAGAGTCAGAGCCCAAAGGATTATTTCTTGGCATTGTTGGTTTGGGTTTGGCTTGGGTTTTTTTTTAATTTTGAAAATCAATTTGGGGATTACAAACAATTATGCTCTTGCACATTAATCGCTGGCATCTAAAATTTTCACATGAAGAAACAACACATGGAAATATTAAAGCACTCATCTTACGGACATGGATCCGAGAACTGTTTAATAGCAGTCAGTGAAGGGGTAACATTGTGCTTTTAATCTACAGTTTAAAAATAATGATTTGTATATCTACGTAGTAAAACAATAAAATTAAGAACAGAAACTGGTATTAGGAAACAGTGAAAATGTAATAATTAAACACATGATGCTTTTCAAAGCTTTATACTTAATGAGCCTAAATAGACACCTATGGTTAGGAGGGTCTTAAAAAAATAATAAAAAAGAGACTTATTTTCAATTTTTTTTTTTCCTTTTCAAATTTTTTTACTATACTTATGCTTTGCTTTGGTGTTCTCTCTGCTGCCAACTTAATGCTTTAACAGTATGTTTATGCTTATGTTCTTTTCAAATGCTTGGCATTATAGTGAGATCTCATATCTTTCCTCAAATTAAATTTTGCTCCACATACTCCACATGTATACAGATGAACATCCCTGTGCTGCTCCAGTTGCTCATTATTTGGGAATATCTGAAAGCAGACCTGGCATATAGTCTCTCCAGCTGATAAGTGAGATATCATATGCCGTACATGGTCATGTTTTCGGAAGTTTCCTTGATCACAAATGGAACAGACATACCTGGCCATGCCTTTGTGCATATCATTGTGGAGCCGCAACTGGCGCTCTCTTAAGAACTGCTTCCCACATGTCTGACAAACAAACTGTTTTTCCTTGGTATGAACGGTATAGTGTTCCCGCAAGTGGCAACGCTGATAAAATCCTTTCCCGCAAAGGTTGCAGAAATGCTTACGCCTGTGATCCCTCTCGTTCTCTTCCAACATGGAGTTCTTGAACAGATCTTGCTCCAGGCAGTTTGACATATGTTCAACCACTAGGTTTTCAGTATCAAAACGCTGGCCACAATTAGGGCATCGGAAAGGACAGGCAGAATGCTTGTATAACTGGTTTTTTTGAAGGCTGTTCATTTGGAAGTGACTGTCCCTGAAGTCCTCCAGCATCTCTGCAAACATCATGTCCCTTATTTCTGACTGCTCCTCAGGGTTTTCTTCCAAGTCCATTTTCTCCTCAGAATTTCTGATCCCATTCATGGTCAGATCCTGGGGTTCTCCACAGGTCTGTGCATGATCCTGTAGCTGCTTGCCTTTGACCAGTATTTGACCACACTTGCCACAAGCACATATATTTTCTATGTGTTTGGATAAATAATGAGAGGACAGATCTTCCTCGGTGATTGTTAGCCCACAAAGTTCACAGGGAGCGTTCTCCACATCTTCCTGCACTGAAGAAGCCTTGCTGTTAAGGTGCCGTGGACTTTTCAAACACTTTCTTTCATCCTCATCCATGGATAAACGAGGCTTTAGAGTCTTCCGAGCATTTCTCTTCTCTCTCATCTCTTCCTCGACGTAGTATCTGTAAAGCGGCTCCTCCTGTTCATCATCTAGGTCGTCATTGTCAGAAGACTCATTGCAGTCTTTATCTGCCACCTTGATAATATTAAAATCCTTCAGCTCATCTGTAGGATTGTCCTCTGGCTCCACCTTGATGATAATCCTCTTCCTCTCAGAGGCTCTACTTCCTTCTTCACCTGATGTCTCAGAGGCAACAGTGCTGCTTTTTCTGCTTGTGATGTTTGACACAGGAGACGATGAATCGTCCGCAGCATGGTTCGAGTCCCCCTTGTATTTTTCTGTTTGTGTGGAAATCATTTTAGAAGTAGAGTTCTTTTCACTAAAGTCTATTTTCTCAGCACTATAGTACCTGGCACTTTGGTAGGAATGCCTGTTGGTGCATGTTAACACGTGCTCATCCAGTAGCTTTTCACAGCTAAAACTAAACCCGCAGCTGTCGCAGGTGAAGCTCCTTCCAAACCGGCGCGAGTGTGACACGCGCTCCTTCGTGTGAGAGAATTTGGACGTGGTGCTTTTTTTGCAGACATCAAACAGTTGCTCGGGGAAGCTGTTGAGGTGCAAAGTTTCTTCCTCAGGCTCTTTGTTATGGGATGTATTCACCGTTGAACTTGGTGGCTCCATGCCCCACCTGTTTGCTTCGCTGCCACTTCTAGCAAGTGCATCTTCATACATTCTCACACCAAATATCATTTTATTAGTCTGGGTGCTAGAAGCAGGAGATGAACATTTTAAACTAGATGAGTCTGTGTCCTGTATATCTTCTAGACACTCAGGTACGTTATAGAGCTGTAAATAGTTCATGGCCACTTTAAATTGCTCGAAATTGGCAGGGGCTGTCATAATTTTTCCTAAATACATGAATTGTAAAATAAGATCAAAGCATTCAGCGCTAATCTTCATGTTGCTTAGATTCAGCTGAGCTGTAGTGTTTTGATGGTTCATAAAAAACATCCTAAAATAGGCGCTGCAGGCAGCAAGGACTGCTTTATGTGCTTGAAAATAAATATCATCGATAGCGATGCAGCAGTCGCACAGAAAGCCCCACTCTCTTTGCTTGTTTAGCTGCTGAAGGACATAGTTGCTATGGCTGGTTTTTGCCATCTTGTACTTCGATTACAGCCCTGCATAAAGAAAAAGGTATCTGTTAAATCACGAGCACAAAAGCCAAAGCCTACTTCAATGTAGGGAGGAACTGCCATCTCTTTTCTCTCTATATCTTCCTATTCTGACAGTCTGCAGCACAGCTTCCTGTCTGGATATCTCTGCTGGTAACTACTTACGAATATTGATGCCAGTGAAAACATCCATAATTCCATGTGCTCACCACTAGACTTACAAGACTAGTAAACTAATCAACATAACCAGCACACATGTCAGAGCGGCTAGAATATAAATTAGCAAATATATCTCTAAGTCCTACAGCCAAGGTTTTCATATATGAATTCTGAATGCAGAACTGCAAGAACTTCACAGGGTAGACTTCTGTAAGATGGCCCCAGGACAACACCTATACAAGGTAAGCTGGCTGTCAGAAACCACTCTTCAGTCTCAACTTGCCTTTTTACCTGTCAGTCCAACGGGCACATGACGCAACACACACTGGAAACCAGGCCAGGCTCAAACTGGTCTTTCCCTCCCCATTAAAGAAAATTAAGAGACAACAGAGCACCCACGCAAGCTACTCCACACATTTTGCTCCTTGTGGCAGCTGAGGGACCATCTCAACCTTCTCTGCAAGGCGTCCTGCAAACCAGGAACTGCAAACTCCAACGCCTTCTCAGAAGCAGAGGGCAGCCTGGCTGCGGTGGCACGTCCCACGTTCGAGCCCAGAGCTGCAGATGGTGACCAGGCGAGCTGCGTGACAGCCACAGGGACTGCAGAGGCAGGAAGTGGTGCACGCCGTGCCTCCAACTGCTCTCAAAACCACTTGTTCAGAGCGCTGAGATGTAACCAAAACACGTAGATGGGAAACCGGACAAAGAAAAACTCAGCAATGGAGAACTGAGAGAGCCAGCAAGCCAGAGGTGGAGCCACGGTGAAATGAAGCCCTGGCAAAGACTGGTCTGCCAGTGCTGAGGGTTGCTTTAAGTGGAAGGACTAACTCATCCTCGAGAAAAGAGGAAGAAAACATCATGGTTCATGTTAACAAAAATTATCCAGAAGAAATGTAGTGTATACAGGATGTGTGTGTTTGAATAAAGACAAACTTCCCAAGTGTGGCCAACACTTTGGAAAACCTTTACTGGTACACATAAGCTGTTCTAACTGCACAGGCTGAGGGGGTGAGGAACCAGAAGAGGGTATAGTGAACACCCTAATTGAAATGAAAACCATAAAACAGTAATGAGGATTCTTAACATTTTGAAAGGTTATTGCAAATAAAGTACAACTAATATATACTAAAGGGCATTTTATGACTCAATGAAATGCATGAATTGATTTGCAACCACTCTTTCAACTGCCCAAAATTTTAACATAATACACACACAAATGCTCCATTTTTCTTCTTATTTTCCTAACAGCTTACATCTCCTAGGGGGAAAAATGGGGAGAGAAATTAAATTCCACAATTAGTGTTGAATTTGCAAGTCATAGGCGTTGCTTGGCTTGTTAAGCAGCAAACCTAGAATTAAGTCCCCATTCTTCATTGCACAAAGGACTGCCACAGCAGTAAGGCTCCCAAGTTCTCGAGAAAAGAAAATGCTCACCCCACCCAGCAATACTCCCTACTGCCAACTCACACAGCAATTCCTATGGATCACCCAGCACAAGATCTCGTCTGGCAACAGGAACCCTGAGATTTGGGTTGAACTACAGTGACAATGAGCATCTGAATGGCAGCTGCTCCACTCCTCTCAACCCAACCCTCCACACCCAGAACTCCAGGCTAGCACCCTGCCATAGTAATTCTCAAATTGGTTTGGCCCAGTAATGTCCACTGGAGAAATACAACTCCTTGCATGGAATTCGTGTCTCTTTTTTTACTAACTTGCAAGGCAGTGGCTCTGAAAGTAGGAGAACCTCTGAAACAATTCCACATCTTTTCAACATAAACTGATTATCATCTGTGTCACTGGGTAATTTCAGATGTTTCTGTGAAGAACAGCAAAGCTCTTGACATCAAGTAATAATAAAAGTGCACTTCATATTCTTCCAAGTGGTAACGTGTTTTGGATTTGAGGCAATTCATTAGATGCTTAAATGTAACTCAATCTATCGTATTAAGAATGGCAGCTGCATAATGATAAAGAATTAACTGCAACTTCCACATTCTAAGAGTGAAAACCAACGAGAAAATGAGATGATGCCATTGATGCACCACTGGCCTCTTGGTGTGAGCTGCCAACACGACAAGAAAAGGCTCAGGACAGCTCATGTTAACTTCCCCATCCTCATAAAGTGGGAAGTTCAAAATGTTTTATTTAATTGTGGGTTTTTTACACTAGATATACTCCACTGTGTCCTCCAATAGAAAAACAGCAATACAAACAGTAAGCCTGTACAAAACAGGTGGTCACAAACTTTCTGCAGGCACCTGCAGATGGGGTCGTTTCGAGATGGTGGGAACAAGTGACAGCACACAAACTCGCCTTTTTCAAGTCTTCCTCTTTGAAAATGGTAAAAGGTATTTCTCCTTTTGACAGATGAACTCCTGCAAAGCTTTCAGCACGTGGATCCTGATGTGCAACAACCACTGGCAATGACCCACTCAGGGAAAGAAGGGTGGAGCATGAGGCTGCTCGAGCAGGATGGCAAGGTTTTGGATTTGACATGTACTTGGTCTCTACCACAGTACTACTACATGTAGGTATTAAAACAGAGTGTATAAGGTTATTTATGTTAATGAAAGTCCTGCCATCCTCCCTCTGGATGCTGTATGAACCTGCTGGATGTAACTTCCCACCACAAGAGCCTGTGTCGGGCTATTTAAAACTTTGACACATTTCAACCAGCAACGGCAAAGCTTTCCTTCTGAAACCTTGGACTGATTACTTTTATTCCCTCCTCCACAGAAAAGCTCAGCCAAAATGGTTCCAAAAATGAGGCTAAGAAAAATCTTTCATGTATGAAGATAATTATTTTTTCATTTAGAAATGAAAAGTTTCTCTTCCAAAATCTTTGAGGAGACACTTTATGTGGGAGAAACTGTTATGTCTTAAATATGTTGTCACAATATAAAAATCTGCCTGAATTTCGACAAACTATATTCTTCAGGGGGAGAAGATACAAATTATCAGTTTATTCGCACTTAAGACTTTTGCTAGTTATTGAAAATTCAGATTACAGCCTGGCAGAGAACATTTCATCCTCTTGCAGCTGCTTAGTAAACAAGGGCCTGCCTGAACCATCCACAGTGAAATCTTTGCACAGAGCTCTGACGTGGTTTTAAACTACAAAAGGGTTGATTTGGATAGAGGGAAGAAATTTTTTATTATGAGGATGTTGAGACCCTGGCACAAGTTTCCAGGAGAGGTGGTGGATGCCTCATCCCTGGAAACACTCAAGGCCAGGTTGGATTTGGCTCTGAGCAGCCTGATTTTGTTGATATCCCAGCTTATTGCAGGGGGATTGGACTAGATGGCATTTACAGATCCCTTCCAACCCAAACCATTCCATGATTCTTTGTGCCACCTCCACAATGTCACAGCTGACAGCAAAGCCTCCTGGAGACTGCTCCACAGCACGACTCTCCACGGGGTCTCAGCTTCCCTTGTGGTAGCTGATGGAGAAGATGCCCAGTTCTGACAGAGGGAGAGCCAGAGCCAGGAGGGGATGCAGGGAAAACACAGGGAGATTGGGAAATGCAAGAAGGATGTGATGGAAAACCTCTGAAAATCTGGAGAGAAGGAAAGGGCAGGCTGGGAGCATGGTGCTGTGCCAAGAGAAGGGATTAGGAAGCAGCAGTGGGAATTAAAAATGGGTGCAATGAGGGTCTAAACATTGGAGGGAAGAAGCCACTCGGGCAAGGGGCTGGGAAAAGCCAGGCTGCAGGGCCAAGGGCAGAAGGGGTAAAAAACACAGCCAAGCTCTTTCCAGGGAATAGGTGGAAAACAATTGCAGCATTCATGCATTCAGAGCAGGAACCCCAAATTGCCAATCCTGCCATCCCTTTGCCATCAACAAGCATGACAGGCTTGCTGACAAACTCCTTCCCAACACGAGCAAGCCCTCAGAAAATGGGAATTTATCATTACTTTGTTACTTTAATTGCTAAAATGGCAGCAATATGCATTTATCATTCATGTGGGTGGATCAGTACTGCAAACTATTTTTGAAGTTTGCTTTAGGAAAAAAAAAAAGAGTTATTAGAATGAAAACAGGTCTTTTTACAGAAAATTCAAGGTATACACATATATTATGTATGTATCAAAGTGTATTCTTCCATGCCTCTTACCAACATTTCCCTTACTCAGCACATCCTCCAGATCTGTCCAAGCCTGGATCTGAGCACTACAAGACGATCCCTGCTCATTTGGCCAAGCATTTGTAGAATGTGAAGTGAATGAGAAGAGTGGGACAAAAAGGAGAATCTCACAGCAATGAACACTGCTTAGAGAACATCATCCCATTGCTGTCAATGCCAGGACAAGTAATTTCAACCTTTCTGGTTTGGTTGTTTTTAAGAAGCCTGGCTTGCATTCTTTGGATGTCCAGTTTATCACACAGGTAAACACCACTGGTGGCAACTGAGGCCAGTGGGAGCTATCATCTGTAGGTATTAAACACCAAATATCTTGGAAAATTAAAGCTCCATACAGGTGAGTTTGACAATCCAAAGTTTTAATTATTTCTGATCCTCTTTTTCAAAGAGAAGAGAATCACCAGCCACTTGCCCAGTGGACTAGCACACTTTGTGAGGCACCCAAATCCTGGAGGCACCAACCTCACAAGTCCACAAGGAACCCAAGTAACTCCACCTTCAGCAGTGATTGATTTGTGTGGTAAATGCAGCAGAGGCCACGTTGGAAGCAATCCTGAATGATGCAGAGGTTGAAAAAATGTGCTAAAAAAGCATCTGATATGAAAATGAAAACTGAAGGTATTCGACTTGGGTATTTTCATTCTGATTTTCAAACTCCAAGTCAGCATATGCATTTTATTTCCCTAGTAAATATTTATT